AATGAATGTCTTGCTTTTATTTATAATCGTTGAAATACAATCAAATAGTACAAACGAATTTTCATTCGTGACGATTTTGACAAAAAATTTCCATTTCCCTATATAGAGCGTTTCAAAAATGTACCCAAATCTCTGATGGTATATATGATTTTAAAAAACCAAAATACGAAAAAAATGTTTTTATGAACACGGGTCCGGAAAAGTTTCATTAGTATACTTGAAAAGATATGTGAAAAACTTCTTCCTTATGAATAATTTCTAAAAGAATTTTTGTATTTAAATTTTTGGTAGTAGCCTCTACTCATTAGGATATAAGTTTGAGTGCAGCTGGAGTGGAAAAAAAATATTCTAGGAGTGATAAATTAAGTGGTGTTCTCCACTTTTATACACAACTTTTTACCCTTGAAAGTGCAATTTTGATAATGAATTTGACATCCCAAATCAATTTTTAATAAAAAATGTGCTTGAAATGATTTCATTGAATCCTTAAATCATACTCGACCGTATCGATTAATAATCAAAAAACTTGAAATTTAAAGACATCACGTACAAGCTAAAAACAAGTGCATGGTTGTGGCCAGAGAGCCAACAATAATTTTTCAAACTTATTGATGGTTTATTAGTAAATTTTGGACGTAGCTAATCTCTAATAATAATACTACTACAATCTCTAATAATAATACTTAAAAGAAGAATTGATGCAAAAATTGAATATTCTTACAACAGTCAAGAAATTAAATAAAAATTTTTCACACATTTGGTATTTCAACGATTATAAACTGTTTTTTATCATTATTGTAAATTGTTATTCTGTGAGTAGATATAGAATGAAAAATGGAAATAAGTCTTGAATGCCACAAGTCCTTGTTAAATATTACTAGTTTCTAAACGTTATAATTCATTTATCTTAAGACATAGGATATCACATACTAGACATAACTAATTCACTTATGTCTGAGGATGAAACAATTATCATGTTTCGAAACCAATGACGACAAGGAGTTGTGAAACTCGAGACTTTTTAACGTTTTTCATTATTTTCATTATTTTTTATTAGTTACTTTGAGAAATTTCCTCGTGTAAACAACCATGTTAAATGGTTTTTAGAAGCTATAGCGACTGCGCTTTGTTATGTTATCAGACTTCATTTCGAAAAATAACAGGGAAACATACCAGGTCGTTCGGTAGGAGGGGGGCAGTTTTCTTCATCACTGCCACTAGGGCAATCATTTATACCGTTACATTTTTTGTAGTCCATAATGCAAAAACCTTCAGCACACTGAAACTCTCCTTCTGGACAATAAATTGGTGGCCCTATTTAAAACACTCAAAAATCAGATTTTTTTGCAAATGTTTTCGTGCTGTTAAATTTTTGGAGGATAGGTTTTGTACAAAAAAGTGCGTTTCCTCAAAACCACAGTTCATATTTCGTCAATCCAGTGTGCTCATTCCTTTACCCAAAACCTGGTATTTTTTTTACTGATGCAGTCTGATGCGATGCATTGTTATTTTTGTTAGTATAGCGATGTGTAGACATTTCCCTATATATTTTATTTGTTAGTACACAGCATGAAATTTGTAGTATTTTTTTGTAACAGAAAATATAATTACAATTACAATTTTATATATAATATACTCATTATGTAAATTATCTAGTTTAAGAAACTTGAATTTTAGTCAGACACATATAGGGAACATAGTAATGCAACAATATTTTAAAAAACATACATTTTTTATATAGTAACTACACTTAAAATTATTGAAATTTAGGTATTTAGCTGGAAAACCTTTAGTTTTAAATATGGGTTAGGTGATACGAAAAAAAGGCACCTAATCTGGAATAAATATTATAGAAAGTCAGTTGTTTTGATAACTATTTAGGATGTGTAATTAATTTCCCCTCGTGCGTGCTATGCGTTTGCTGTCATTGGAAAGAAGATTAAAATTAGTTTTCTCTATATTAAAAAAAGCTATTACAACATTAAAGATAATTAAATTCTGTATATAATTTATTGTTTGTCTGATGAATCCTTTCGAGCAAAAAGTCACCAGAAGCGATGTAATTTTCATAACAAGCTTATAACTTTTAACGAATTACTTTTCTATGTGTGTAAAGGATTGCGATAAATTTGTGTCCCGTTATATCAATAATCTACATACATATGTATGATCAGCTAAAAGTTACATAGCTACAGTTTTCAGACGATTTGAGAATTATACTTTAGAACATTTTGATTGAGAAAGTTTTTCGTTAATGTTGAAAATCCTATTTTCTACTATACAGGGTGGTCATTTTAAGTGCTTAATTTTTCCCAGAAAAATTGCAAAACTCACTCCATTTTATTGCTTAATTTTTCACCTAGGAAAAAAATTGCAAAACAATACTTATGTATATTTTTCTGACAAATCCGAATTCGAAAAGAAAAAACCAATTGAACATCAAATAAAAAAATTATGGCTGAAATGAAAAAATACAGAAGTTGATATTAGCGGAAATGGACATGTGATATTCCACTGATTAAAATAAATGTGTCTCACATATCTTTCTCTTCCAATTTAACTGAATTTTTTTTATTTCAAGTGATATGTCCTGCGTATTTAACTGAGTTTAAAGAAAAGTTATCTCTGAATATAGCAATATATAATCATTATCGTTCATTTTGATAAGATGTCGGGGTTTAAATTTAAAGTAACACAAATATATCTTTTAAAACAAAACATCTACAACAAATATCTACAAATAAAAACATTTAAATAATTTATTTGTCAAAAATTTTAGTAATTCTATATATTTACAAGAAATGTTCGAAAACATTATTTTTCTGCAAACAGAGGCGAAGCCGATTGATACCATTCTCTACATTTGTTTAAAGTAATGGGATTTGTTGTTAATTAAATCTATTTCTTGTTGATTTTTTAATTTGATATTGTCAATATTGCTGCGGCTTTTATTTGCTTTAATTATTACATAGTTCTCCATACACTGTTTTTAAAACGTGACGTTTTGTGTTGAAATGATTGGTAGTTAGAGCGAATAATTATGCTTGTGTCTAACTGTGCCTAGATTCAAAGAAAACAAAATACAATTACTTTCATTTTTGAAATAAATAAATTATTTAAATGTTTTTATTTATTCTCATAGATGACATTTTTTTTAGTATATTTGTTATTTTAAATTTAAACCCCAATAGCTTTTTAAATATGAAACATAGTTATAATATATTATATATATTGCTGAATTTAGGAAGAAATTTTCTTTAAATTGAGTTAATATACACCGTATATCATTTAAAATAAAAAAAGTTGAAGTAATTTCCGTTTAAACCGGAAGTGAAAAATATGTTTGTTATACGCATTTATTATCAGTGGAATATCACATATCTATTAATTTCCACATTAACATACAGTGACAATTTTGTATTTTCCATTTCTCGGCCACATCCTTTTTATTTGACGTTCAATTGTTACTTTATTTCTCAGATAAAAACACATTTTTGGATTTTTTTTTAGGTGAAAAGCAACCAATGAAATCGAGTGAGATACTTAAAATGATCACACTGTACAACGGAAATTTTTCTTTTTTAGACATAACATTATTTTTAATTTTTTTTTCAAGAGAGCACGAACGCCGGCTGCGACGAGAGGTACTATTTGGAATAAAAAACGAAACGATAAACAGCTTAAAAATTAGAAATGGAAACCGATGAGACGCCATCTTTGCTTGAGACTTGCCCAATTATTTCAAACAAAAACAACGTAAGTATCACCTTCACATTTCTATTTTATATATTATTATAAATGATAAATGTCATTTTGTTTTTACATCCATTTTCCATATGTCATTGTGGTTGTTAAATTCTATATGGAAAATAATAGTAAAATAATTAACTTATAATAATTTATAATTCATCAGAGTTCATTTTTACATATCGTCTTGATAAATTGTTGGACATTCATTCTCCTTTATTATACAGTGCTCGTCAAAATCAATCATAAGAGAAACTATTTTATTATTGATTTATTATTGACACTTATTGAAGTAGCTGTTTGAATAATTGTGAAATGAAATGATTTATAATTTCGTTTTATCCCGTCAACAAAGTACACAAAAATTTTGTAATGCCACAATACATACATGAAGTAAATATAAAGAAGTGATACCAAATTACTCTTATTTCAATTATGTTAATGAAAAAAAAAAAAAATGATTTTGAGAAAATAAAATACGCCAAAAACATCTGCCTCCTAATAATTTTAAGTCATGAATTGTTACTACAATTTAAAACTATTTTTTGAATACTTAGGGAGTCTGGATGCCATCCCAGAGACGGATTTTTAAATCTAATACTAGATTTCAAAAACGCGTGATATAATAGTAATAAATTAAACTGTAATTTTTAACAGTGTACTTACACAATAATTAAATTAATTTATTAGCTTTTGCATATAAAACCGGTCCCGAAGAGCGATCGTCAACCGCCAAGAATTATACTGGCACCATTGAGTGGCCGAGAATTATATTATATATGTATGTAGTGTCAAAGGGCAAATATTGTTTGCATCCCTAGGTGACTACCTGTTTATTGACCTTCTACTTAGTTTACATCTTTGCTCTATGCAATTTGTAATTTGTTCAGTTGGAAAACACTCTATCTAGCAATCTCTTTTGTGTACAGTGGGTATAATATTTTTTATTTGACATTGTCTGTTTACTGTAGTGTGTTAGTGGATGTTAAAAAGACGAGGGAATCCGCTAGAGATGACACCGAGGATACGGAGCACTGATGATAGTTAGATAATGGGCGAGAGAAGAAAATAAGTTGTTGAATAATGTTGGGCGTCACTCGTTATTAATTTTTTTTTTAATTAAACATCACAGGTAATACAACTCCCTGTATGTACCTCAAGATACCTTGTGTGGGAGAGTGCTATCTAGAGACAACGGACACACATCCAATGTCCGAGTATGTTTAGATTAATTTCTAGTTTAGAAAAAAACCTAGCTCCTCGAGCGGGGATCGAACCTGGGACTCCTGGGCGAGACGCAAGTGTCTTTATCACTCAACCACGAAGCTGCACAAAACGAGAAAATTTGGAAAGTATAATAAAATAATCTTATTATAGCTGTGATGCTGGCAAACTGATAAAAGTGGTGCAAGACGCTTGGCGTGAATGGCAGAATGTATGGGAGAGTGCTAAAGTAGCTAGAGGTGTGTGGCAGCGAGACTTGATAAATTAAAAACTGCAACAAAATCGGAGAAGACAGTCTCTTTGTGTGAGCGGCGTGTCGGGTGCGTAGAACGGTCGTTAATGGGTCTAGTGACTGTAAAGAGACGGAAATGACTAAATGCCGGGCATTTTGGCGATGGGAGGCGAGAAAACCCTAAAGCTTTGAGGGGTCACAGAGGAGAATTCAGAACTACCATAAACCTCGGAAAATCGGCTGTATCGTGGCTCTTGGGCTAGTTAAGGATCGGTGCTTTATGAGAGCAGCAGACATAGGTTGAACGAGGCCTCCGGACGTTGTCTAAATGCCGGAAGAGCATTTTATTTATTGAAATGTTTAGAAACTACCACGAAATGTGTTGTTGTGCTCGACGACGCAATTAGGGGAATTTTAACATAAAAGCTGGCATCAACTAACACGTTATTTTAATAGGCTTCTAATTATGTTTAATAATTTAAATACCACGAATTACTGATAAAAGAAAAACTGTAGTTTAAAAAGTTAGAGCAGTTTTTTATGTTCCGCGATTGTTTGATGTCTCCACCTCCAAAATACCTTATGCATTGGAAATTTTAAGGCAAAATTCTGAAACAGATCAATGGCTATTTTAAAGGGGACAATTTACACACATGGAATTCTTTGCTGTGCCACTACCCTACTTGGGAATTGATCAACCCCTGATTTCAAAATAATAAATATGGGCCGAGTGACATGAAATTTTTCAAATCTGCATTTACTATGTGCCAACAAAAAAAAACGAATGTACAAAAAAAAAGTACATAATAATAATAAAAAAAGTGAATATTATTGCATTTATTGCGGGGGTTAGATTTGCTGTGCGCAGCAAACAGATCCATATTTGCAGCTATTACATACCAAGTAATATATGCTATATACGCTATACTACTTACTATAACCTTTTTGTACAATAAACGTATGAGTTATAACTAGGTTCTAAAGGATGCATCTATCATCAATTTTTATAAACCTCCACATTCCTGACAATTAAATGAAATAGTTTCTCATATGATGTCAACTTTTTATAGAGCACTGTTTCATATTGGCATCGGTGGCCTTTCGCTACCATTTATAAGACAACACTTAAATCATATAAAATATTCGGGTTGTATGCATTACATTTTAGACCTATTTCACCACAACCCCGGATTGTTTAAAGTCCTTTATTTATTTTTTATACGGAATTCATGTTACTGTATAATTCTTATAGATTACATCCATGACATTTTTAGTAGGTGGATAAAAAGTATATATTCTCAAAAATATAGTTGCGAATAAGAAAAATAGTGGAGTAGAGCCCAATTTGAAAAATTCCGTGTAATAAAATTTTTACCTTCTGGCTTAAGTTGTACATTTTCAGGGGTTGGCTTACGTCCTGTCTCTTTACAATTTACTTCATCGCTATAGTCCTCACAATCCGGTATTCCATTACAAATACTACTCATATCAATACACTTAAGGTTATCGTAGCATTTCCAAGTGTTTGCAATGCATATCAATTCTTTTCCTACATGCCCCAATCCACACACCAGCAACATGCAAAATTGGGTTTTCACTAAGAACTACATGCTACGCTCTATAAACTACATTCTACTTTATTACAACCACGGTACTATTCTAAACTAAGACTGACTCTGGTAAGTAAAAAAAAAAAAAGGAATTCAAGAGGTACAAATTCTTTATAGCAAGAAGCTATCTAGAATAATGTATATTGGATAATAATAGTTTGCACTGTCGTTTTCCTTGTTTGGACTTTTTACCACATGGATAGTTTTTCTTAAATTCAATCAAATCTACAAAATAAAATTACCCAGTGCATTACTGGGAAAATAAACCATGACTTTATGCCAAAAAAACAGTCAATGAATTAACATTATTTAACAAAAACACCCCCCGTTTCTTCCAAGGAAAATTATGGGCGCATAGGTAAACTTTCTCATTAATATACTGGGTAATCTTTTCAGAATTGATAGAATCTTATTCATGTTGTAGAGATTCCCAACAAAGAAAAAGAAAACATAAAATAATGCCGCATATAACAATTAGATAATACTCGTATTTAGTTTGCAAAATAACAGAGAATTATTTCTTCAATAAAAAGGAATAATATTTATTTTATTCAAACATCCTTAGCAATTAAGAGTTCGAAAAAGAAGTGGTTATACTCTACAGTAAAAGTACTAAATTAAACGAAAATAAGAACGACAACAAAAAGACTACTAACTACAACAGATGAAGAAAAAGCGACACAATAATAGAATACAACATAGGAAAGAGAAACAGAAGGAAAACGAATTAAAAGAGTAACAACAATTAACTTCTAGAAATATCTGAATATTTTGACATTGGAAAATATAAAATTTGCTGTTTAATGCTATTATGACTTTTCTACCTAATAGGAACGCTGAGGACAAGTCTGAACGATATACGGGATTCCAGAAGTAGAGAATTTCTTTTATGCGATAATTAATTAATTATTAGACTAAACCATTTGTATTTTGATACAGTTGTTTTGAGATATAGCAAGTGAAAAGGATTCATTTAAATTCTTGGTATATGGAATAAAATGAAAATATAATAATGCTAAAAATGTTTGCTAATTAATATTTTCTAACTTTTACAAAAAACTTATCATAGGTAAATACCTATAACATGTATCTTTTTAAACAAATATTTTCTCGGCTATTTGCCAAAACGCTGAAATTTGGATTATAAAAACGATAACATGCACATTATGTTCAGTACGACTGACTCAATAATGTTATTATTTTTAATTCTAATTACTCTGTTCAATAAAACCAGATATAAATAAAACAAACGTACTCAGCAGTTGAACAATCACTTCAAAACTTTAAAACATCCACAGACACGTGCGTCATCAGTATGAATCTTTGAAAGCCTCGAAAGTAACCGTAAGAAAATCTTTAATATACATGTATTTTTATTTAGTATAAAGTAAAATGGGACAACTGACACTGAGTTAAATTACTTCGAATATGTCTTTAAGCAATTCCCTAAACTCATTAGCAGTTTTTACATTTACCAATGACCAAATAATCAGATAACGATAAAGGTCAAAGAAAAACTAACAAGAATACATAGTCGTCTACGAAAAACAACGAGTAACATATTTTAAATCTTACTATCTTACCGTTACACTCGTGTTCATCAGACTGGTCAGAACAATCGGAAACATTGTTGCAACGGTATCTTCCGTCAATGCATTGGCCATTCGCACATCTGAATTCGTCTTGTTTGCACAAAGCTGTTTGCATGAATAAGCATTAGCATGACAAAGCTATCTCTTATGGATAATGTGAAAAGTGGGAAAAGAAATTGAAAGAATTATTTGCTAATGGCTAAAAGTAAGATACTTTCTTTATAGCCAAAATATTAAGAAAATAATGAGAAAAGGTACACATAATTCCACCTTGACACAGTATACATAGAGCTATTCATGAAATACTGTAAATAGGAAAATAATTAGCGAAGAGATAATGCAATAAACAAAATCACTTGTAAACAAAAGCACCATTCACGGCAGCCCTAGTATGTGTTCCAGAATTGTAGAATTGTGTTGCAAGAATTTTCTGAAGAGTTTATATTGAAACAGTTTTGAAAAATATAAATTAAAATATCACTATTTTATTAATATACTTTTATTTTTATTAGGTAATGAATTAATGGGTACAAGAAAAGTAATAAATCCATTACGTACTGAGAATAACAAAAGTGATTCTCGATGATGCTATTTTATCTGTTCTACAAATGCTGCCATGACTCCTATCTTTGTTATACAAGTGGAATTGATTATTTTGTTATTTTCTTCTCATTAAGTCCTAACTATGATGTTTTTACGAACCAACTAATAATTAATAATCACGACGAAATTAGAACAATTAAGACGATTAATTCTTCAAGCCAATTAACATCAATCAGGACGGGTGAAACATTGTGTAATCTTGAAACCGAGGAAGCAATACAATGATAATAATTAAACTTGGTTATTTAGACACCGGACAATTTCCGTAAGTCCCAAGACCGGCTTCCCAACTAGCCTGTCATTCCCATACGAAAGAACAGTAGCTGTACGTGCGCAGCGACATCTAGATCGTATTTTCCATTTAGTTTATCTCTGTAAATAGTCGCAGTGCCTAGACGGCGGCCGCGAGGATAAAAATAAATAGTAACAACTATGTTAACGAAGAACGCGAAAAATCAGTACTTGTCGATTTGTGTTGACGAAGCCATGCATTTTAAGGGACATAAAATCATTAATGTAGTAATTAAATGAGTTGAATCGGTGTTATAAGTCAATTTATAGAAATCGTAATAAACTACTTTTATTTTTCAATATATGAAAAATTTCTATTAAAAAAAGTCGTTTAGAATGTAATTTATGTCTACTTACCAAATTTTAGGAACACAAATTTACTTTGTTGCAACTGATCCTATTTTTCACAAGTAGTCAGTTTTTTGTTGAAAATAAGATAAGACGTTAAGAACAAAAGTTATTCATAATGTTAATTTATTTAAAAAAATATATTTGTGATTTCAGAGCACTCTAAGTTGCAAAAATGATTTTTAAAAATTCAAAACAATATACTAATTTATTGAAAAAAGGGGCAGTCCAGCACAGTAAATTTATATTTCCGAAATTTAGTAAGGAGGCAATTGCATTCTAAACATTTTTTTAGTGGAATTTTTTCATATCTTTAACAATAAAGATAGCTTATTAGTGACGACTTTTATAAATTAACTTATAAAATACTGTATAACATCAATCAACCCATTTTTGATATATTTTAGTTTTACATTAAATCGGACTGA